AAAGTCTTGAGTCATCCTTCATTCCTTTATGTGTAGCTAGAAAAATGGAAACTAGGTGCTGAAACATATGCAAACGGGGATGGAAATACAGTAAAAAACAGTCTGCACAAGTCTATCGAGCTTGAAAGCTAATAATTGTTCTCAGTTCTCAAGTCCAGGCTTCTTGAAAGACATTCAAAGCTCTTCTCCAGATGTTGGCCTCATCTTTTTTTTCAAAATGATCCCACATTGCTTCAGTAACTTTGAGGCTCAGACTCCAGGGAACCCAAACCATGACTGATAGTGTACCACTGTAAAAGACGGAGTCGACTACAAATCAGTGAAGCCGATCGAGAAATGCCTTAAACCTGCATTCTTGCTAAGCAGAGCCACCAGAGTACGACTCCACTGGCGGAAAACAGAAGAAGAATTTATGACCTCAGATGATGTTTTCCCAATAAGTGCTTTTAGTTAGAAGTTTCTACAAGTTCAGTTTAATATAGCAAGATATTTACTTTACAAGTTGTATATACACACATATATGTCATGTTTGAGGCAATTACACAGAAAGAATGTTGCAAAAAAATATCGAGACAAAATTCAGACCTTTCCAGATCCATACTTGCCATGTCAAGTGTACGGTATATAAACTGAACGTGCTTTTGTGGAATATTCATTTTCTCAAGAAAAAATCCACTATGTGATCGAGATGAAGCAACGATGAGCTCGTCCTGATGTTTCTAAACAAGAAAAGGAAGAAATGAAGATTCTGATTTCATCTGATTCTCACAACAAGGCGGCGGCAGCAGGGAGAATTTCATGGTTTGATCCAGGAGTTGAATCACCGTATCACAACTGCTTTCAATAATTTCACAGAGCCGACTGACCCAAAGTAACATACAGTACTATTATTTGACTCTTTCCTTATCATTCTATATTCAGTACTGGTGCTCTTTTGAGCATCGAGTTCATTTGTTGCCAAATACAGTGGTCTGATTGTCTCCACCTCGTGACTGACATGTCACTATGTACAAATGTGTGATGTCCCTCAGTTTCCCGGTCAGACTCACGTGTTGCTCATGAAATCTCGCTCCAAAATCCCTGGTAAAACTGGTAACAGCCACAATGCTCGGGATCTTGTCACAATGGTCACATCCATCTCTTCTATACAGTCTGTGCTCTAAAGGTGCTACATAGTCCTCTCTGTAAGCCAGCTCCCTCTGTCTGATACTGAGCAGGTAGTCTGCTGTTGGCTTTCCATTTTCTCTGAAGGTCAGGGAGCTGCTAAACCTCAAACTGAGGTTGGTAAGCAGTGAAGATAAACTGGACGCTACACAAAGAGATGAAACTAATAAAACAGCAAAATAAAGCAGTGCTGCAAAAGTATACAATAATTATCTGAAGGTTCATCATAAGTGACCTTTTTCTCATTTTCACATTGTTTTTACGCTGTAACATTTGATAATTGCTGCTGTGAAACTGCAGATAATTTAAGGTCCTTTTGCTAAAAATGTTTTGTTAGTTTGAGTCTTGTGTTATTATGACTAAAACAGAATTTTTCCACCTTATATCTTCCCTTTTTTGTATAGCTACAGCACCTGCTCATTTTTTTTTTTTTTTTTTTTTTCCCAAAAACCACCCATTATTCCCCCCCCCCCCCTCCTTTCTCACTGTATGCTGTCCAACCTCCCTCCACCCCGTCTGCCTGTCAGAACCCACCATATGCGTCTTTCTGCAAACGCCATCATGCTTCTCCCTGCAGCGCATCTGTATGAATTGTTGCGGGATGCGGCCGTCACGTGTCGGCACAACACAGGCGGTGATTTGTGTGAAGCAAAACGAGCGTTTAGCGGGCCACCGTCCCACCCCACAACTTTCATCAGCCAACAACCATCTTTATTGATTTCAAACAGTCTGCCGTGATGGCGCAGACGCACGGGGGGGGAGGAGAGCGGGGAAGGAAATAAACTACAAAGAATATCAACAGGAAATTGGGAGAAGACCGTCCTTTTTTCTATAAAATCCTCATCTGTCACATAGGGGACTGGTTTTTTGTTTTGGGTTTTTTTTTTCTCGTCTCCTGTGCTCTTTGATTCCCTCCCTGTATGGGCCTCGGTTTCTCCTTCCTCCTTCATCCTCCTCCTCATGTCTCTTCCTCGCTGCTTTACTCTACAGGATGGTGGGGAAAAAATAAACAGATGGAAGAGGGAGGGATAAAGAGACAGAAAGAGGAAGGATGCAAGGGTTCAAACTGAGAGAGGGGGAGGAAAGAAGGTGGGGATGAAGGGATGAGAGGATGCAGAGCCGGCGGGGGGATGGAGCGGATGGAGGGAAGAGGAGGGGACGGAGAGCCTGATGAACTCATCCAAAGGCGCTCTGGGTTTTTTAATAAGCAGCAGACTGTGAAGCTACTCTCCAACCAGTCACTCTGAATAATGAGAGAGAGAGAGACACGCGCGCACACACATGCAGGATGAGAGGATGAAAAGACAACCAGACTCATTATCTTGCGACCAATTTTCA